GGCACCCACGCAAGGCTTCCGGGCCACTGGCCGCGGGGACAGGGCAGGACAGAGCAGCCCAGAGGCCGCCCGGGCGGGCAGGAGAGGTCTCTGGCCAAACGCCGGCCTTGGGAATGCTCTGTCCCCTCCTGCTTCCCGCACATCCGGGGTCAGCGGTCACCCTATTCATAGAGGCCCCCGAGGAGAGGCCTGGCCCCCGGGCGGCCATCGTCCTCCCTCAGAAGCAGATGGGCAGGCCCAGGGCCGGCTAGGCCAGAGGCCCAGTGCCCCTCAGAGGGGACACAGCCTTGTCACGATGGCGCCCAGCCACACCACGGAGGCAGAGTGGGCTCCGGAGGCCTTGTGCGTCTCACAGGGACCCAGCAAGTGTCACAAGAACCAGAACCGGGAAGCAGCCCAGGCCTGGACGCCGGAGTCCCGTGCCACACAAGCCGTCCCACTCGAAGCCACCTGGGCCCTCGATACGCAGAGGGACTCGGGAAGTGGTTCCCACCAGCCACGGTGCGTCAGAGCAGAGAGGAACGCAGCGTCCACAGCACAGCCAGCGCTGTCCCCGGCCTGTCCCGCCGCCGAGCCATCTCACTCGCAGCACCTGGCAGGAACAGACCCGGCAGCAGGGCAGCAGGGCAGACGTCAGAGGAGGGCTGGGGTGGGACGAGGCTTGTCACTTCGTCCTCAGTCGGCCGGGACGCCCGCTGTGGGCAGTCCTGGGGCCTCTGGAGCAAGGGTCACCTTCAGGTCTTGATTTCTCCACCTAGAAAATAGGGTGGCCGCAGCTAGACTCCGTGGAGCCCCCCAAGTCCAAGGTGGGCGCTTTGGGGCTCTGCGGTCAGTCCCTGTGGGGGGAAACTGAGGCAAGGTCCGGGTGGAGAGCTTGCCCAGGGCCACAAGGGGCTGAAGCTAGGAAGATCAGGACTGCCAGCGGCAGAGGCTTGGAGGTAGGGTCCACGCAGCCCCCCAATGCCGCCCCCACAACCCCATTCCCAGCCCAGGGCGCCGGGCCAGCCAGCTTGTGAGGCTTAGACCCTGAGTGGCGCACGCCTGCCCTCCGGTGGAGGCTGCTGGGATCGCCCAGCGTGGAGCCCCAGGCGCAGGACCCTGTTCCTCCTTTGCCGGCTGACGCTGGGATCTTGGCCCGAGCATCCCCCCGCGTCACTGCGGCCTTTTGTTCCAAGAGGCAGTGAGTTCTTGGGCTTTGTCGATATTCCTGAGCTGTCGCCCAGACCCTGCCGTCCTGCCGGGAGCCCAGAAAGGCGCAGCTCGTCTCAGCCCCGCGCAGCCCAGAGGCCTGGGAAATCGCAGGAGAGGACGGACTGCGCTGGGCTCGGACGCCGAGGTCGCCGTCTGTGCCTGCAAATCCGGCCGCGGCCTCCAGGGGGTGACAGCGCGCCCGCACCAGGCTGCAGGAGGCGCCGGGAAGGCGCGCCGGGCCCGGGGGCTCCCCGCTTCTCTTCCTGGCCTGGCCGCCCCCGGCCTTCTCCGCTCCCAGCAGCTTCCCTGCCCCGCCGAGGCCCCCGGCCCGGAGGTGACCGGGGACACTCACCCCGTGCTGGGTCCACAGAGCCGTGCTCCTTCGGCACAGAAATAGAACGCTGCAGCTGTGCGTAGCAGAGAACCTCTCCCGTCACCTTTTTCCCCTGCCCCGCGGGCTCAGCGCGGCAGCCCCAGCCCCCTGCGGCACAGCCCTGGCGCAGACAGGGGTGCGGCGGACCCGGAGGTGCCCGGGCGGAGCCCACAGGCAGGGGCGGTGGGGCCCGCAGGGCCCATGAGGTCCAGCTTTGGCGACCTGGCCCCTGGCCCTTGAGGTGAGGCACGGCAGTGTTCAGACTGGAACCAAGGACCCTCAAGGCCGGGGAATGTGGCCAGGATGGAGGCCACACGGCAGGAGGACAGGGCTGTGGCAGCCACCAGGGCCAACGCTGGCTCAGGGACCCTGGTGTCGCACCCAGAGCTGGTGACCCAGGCCTCGTGTTGCATGTGGGACATGTGCGCAAGCCCAGGATGCATGGATGTGTGTAGGTACACGTGAGTGCACCTACACACGTGTGCATTCTGTGCAGACACGAGTACTCTGCAGATACACGCGTGTGCACGTTTGTGAGCCTGCATGTGCGCTCATGGACACGTGCCCACGGGGAGATGCACGCACACATACCCAAGTATTTTACCAACACTGGCTACGGCTACGCCTGCTCTGGCTTACTGGCTTTTTCTCCGAAGAGGCCTGAACCTACCCCCCTGGGGCGGGCACTGGAGCAGGGAGCGGAGCCGCAGCGCAGCACCGACCTTTCCTCCTCCTCCTCCGACAGGGGACGCGCGTGGGCAGACCCGAGGCCGGCGGCCGGGATTCGAACCCGAGGCCCAACAGAGCGAGGTGCATGCGCAGACCTAGGTGGGAGGGCGTCGCATGCGCAGACAGCGCCCGTGGGTCCCCGCCCCTCGGCACCCACAGTTCCCCGCGTGCGGAGGCGTCCGGAAGTCCGTGGAGGGCTCTGCCAACGCACACGCTGATTCGTTACCAGCCACTTCCACTTCCGCTGACAATTCCGTTCCTCTGCCCGCCAAGCGCTAGACGTGTCCTTGTGGGAAGTGCGCCCCCGCCCTGTTTTGTTTCCGGGGGAATCTTCTCCTGGGAGGAACGCTCGGGACTTCGAGGGTTCTCCTCCGCCTCTGATTGGCTGGTTTTGTGAATTCATTATCGCACAAAAAATAGGAATTTATTTCTTACACGTTCGAGTTAATTAAGATGAACAACTGTAAATAATCTTCCTTCTCACTTGTGGGGATCTCTTGCACGAATGTGTCCCTGTGGGTAGTGGGCAAAAAGTCACCATCGCTGTGAAGTGAAGGCAGATCTTGGCCTATAAATACTGTGCGAGAAGCACCCGAGAGTTGTGTTGTATGAAAGGAGAGAAGGTTAGCACTCCCCTTGACAAGGATGGAAGAGGCCCTTGGGCCTGACAACACGCATACGGTTAAGGCATTGCCACCTACTTCGTGGCATCTAACCACTGTTTTTTGGTTGGGGGGGTCTCCCCGTGAGACAAGCAAAGCTCGCCTTTGCTCTTCAGCTTCCCAGACCTCCCTCCTCTCCAAGGCCTCCAGATCTTTGCCCTCTACATTCAAAGATCTCGCGCTAGGATACCCAGGGCCTCGGCCAGCATGCAGCGGCGGGGCTTCGCTGGGACCTGCAGACCTGCAGACGTCTGGGCCAGCGTCCAGGCTAAGGATCCCCAGCGGGTGGCTGTCTGGCAGGTCCTGGTTTCCGCCATGCGGGTGACAGCCGCAGCCAGGAGTCTCAGAAGCGGCGGCTGCAAGAGGTGGCCAACCTGGAGGTCTTCCCCAGGGCACAGCCGGGGGAGCTGGGATCCCAAGGATGCCCTGTGGGCAGCCTCACTGCGCCGGATGGGGACTGGGCAGCGGAGCACCAGCTTGCAGCAGAGAGCAAGAGTCCCACCCTGTGCCACCGGAGCCCTCCTGCTGGTTCTGAATCTGTAACTCCCTCAGCACCGGATGAGAGTGGCTTTCACTGCAGGGCAGCGACTGCTCTCCCAGCCCTCAGCCTCCACTCGAATGGCGGTAGGTCACCAGGCCCTGTATCCACCGCCCCTCCCTCCAGGCAATGGTACCTGATTCTCGGCAGCAGCCAGTAGGTCCCGCTGCTGCTGAAAAGCAAGTCACAGCAAAACCCCTCTCCTACCCGCCTGCCGGCTATCGAGACCCCAGAGCAGGATGTGCCAGGACCCAGTGCCCACCATCCTTCTCTGCAAAGATGAAGCCTCACCTGCATGCCTAAGAGCTGGGAAATTTGAGTTATCAATCTTTGATCAGATTTTCTTTCCTCCAGTACTGGGGCTTGAACCCAGGGCCTGCACTGAGCTATACCTGCAGCCCTTTTTACTCAGACTGGCTCTTGCTAAATTGCCCAGGATGGGGTAGCCTTAGCTTCCCAAGCACCAGGATTACCGGGCTGCACCCCCTTGCCCGGCCTGAGTAGTCTTTGGAGACACCTCTTGTAGGTGCTGTGCACTCTCTGTTCACATGGCCGAACACCCAGGAAATGAACTCGAAACGTCCAGGTCAGAGGGCAGAACACGTGATTTCGGAAGCAGGTGACGGGGACACTGGGATGCTGGGCACCCCCGCTCCACTTTCATCAGAAAGCCCCCGTATTTTTATTCTGTGTGGTGCCAAGGAGCCAAGGTCTCCCTCGAGCCAGGCAGAGGAAGCTGCACCCAGCCCAAGCCGTCCCCAGTGAACGACTGAAGACCCGCACAGCAGCAGCAGCAGCAGCGGGGACTGGCCGTTCATCCTCTCTGCCGCCTCAATGCTGGCAAGAAGCACAAATGTGTGGCATTTACAGAGAGGCGTATTCGAAACCCAGGGGCTCTGAAGCCAAGCACAGCAGGGCACCCTGGGCACACTGCCCTGCTTGAGGTTACACCCGGCCCACAAGGTAACAATGCTTGGAGTTAGCACATGCTGGACACGTGAGCCCTCCATAAGGCAGTCTGAGGGCCAGTCAAGGCCACCATCATCTGAGAAAAGCAGATGGAGCCCACAGGGATGGCAGCACATTCATGCCAAAGCCACCTCCCTATAGAGGGCCTGGACATGGCACCCATGTGCTGCACTCTTCAAAGCCTTAAACTAAATCCTTCATCAGAGGCAGGGAAAATCCAGGTGCTGGGCCCGGCGTGGTGGCGCAAAACTAATCCTAGCACTCGAGAGGCTGAGGCATGAGGATCACTGTGAGTTCGAGACCAGCCCAGGCTATGAAATGAGGTCAAGGCTAACCTGAACTGCAGAGCGAGACCCTGTCTCAAAAGGTCAAAAACAAAAAACAAACAAATAAAAAAAGCCAGATGCAGTGGCACACACCTGGAATTCTCTAACAGTGAGTTCAGGGCCAGCCTGAGCTCCAGACCATAAAAGCAGAGCAAAGCAGAAGTAAAAGCAAGTTTGTGCTGTTAAAAAAAGTAAGGTCTTATGGGACAAAATTACAAGACACAAATCTTTATTTTGAAAGAGAATGTATTTTTACATAAATCTACAACAGAAAGTTCAACTGTAGAAAAAATAAACTCTATTCAGGACACAGCGCTCGGCACAGCAACTTTCTCCCCGCCCAGGAAGGGCTGACCTGGACGGCCAGGCGGAAGGCGCCTGTCACACAGGCAGCAGATGCAGGTCTCGGACCCCACTCCTGGGTGTTAATGCCAGAGCCCCCTCCTGCTGCCACCAGATACTGCCACCACCGCCAGCCCCAACCCACCGTGCCCCTCCGCCCGTGGGGAGGGACGGGAAACTGCATGACCCTCCTCAGAGCCTTCTGGGGTTCTTACCTCACACCACACGACAGCAGCCACTGAGGATGCTCAAGGCCTGGCTGGGGACCAGGGCTCACTGTGGGTCTCCACAGGCTCTTCCTGCTCTGGGCCTGTCTGTCCAACTAAGGTCCGACAGGCTCCGCCTGGGCGCTGGCCCCAGCGCAGGACTCTACATGCCCAGCCCAAGCCTGGCTCCCCAGTGTTGCTGACAGGACCCGGCAGGGCGATGTGCGACACTCGTGCAGCCACTCCCCAGTCTCTATGACAGATGTGGGCTGGAACCCCACGTCCACTTCCTTCCGGTCAGGCTCGCCATGGGCACAGCCAGGCAGTAGCTATAAACCTGGCCACCACTGTTCCTCAGACCCGATCCCTGAGGAGCCAGATGCCAGCGGCTCCAGTTGGGGTGGGGCTGCACAGGAGGCTCAGGTGACACCAAGTGCCCCCGAGGACACCAGGATGGCAGGAGGCTGAGCCTTGTGGGCACCAGAGCACCATTCCTTCCTGCACTAGTCACCGAGCCTGGCCTAGGACACAGGTGACAGTGCCACCCACAGGCCCAACAGGCCCACCAGAGCACTCGGCCGCAGGCACCACAGGAAGCCCAGCCTTTGATGGAAAGGAAGAACCACTGGCGGCACACCCCGAGGACGCCCTTGCCCACCCGCCCTGCCACGCAGGTAATAAGCCAGGTGGAGATGAGCTCCCACTGGAACGCAGGTGCCAGGAGCACGTACAAAATCCCACCTTTTATTACAGTTTGTGCAACTGTGTGGACGCCAGAGATGAGGGGACATGGCCTGTGGTCACCATGGGTCGGTGCACAGCCCAGAACTCCTGATACAAAGGACTCGACATGAAGAAACCGCACAAGGCTTTGTGTTCCAGAAGACGAGAAAATGTGCCAGGCACCGCTACGGGCAGGGGGTCGGCAAGCTGGCAGCATTGGGGAAGAAACCCCACACCAGGCCACCCGAGCCGGGCACAGCGCTCGCTCACACTGGGTAGGAAAATATAAAAAATGTACAGAACAATTACTGGAAAAACAACCCATGATAAATCGAACTTCGCTCTCTTGTAATAAAAAATTAAAAACTTTTGTTGCCTCTGAGCAAATGAACTAGGAACTCCTCCCTGGGCGAGGACAGAGCTGGCAAGAAACGTCCCAGCAATGCTGGAGCCTCCTGGGGCGCACAGCCCTTGGCCCGCTGTCCTCAGAGCAGTGCACGTGGCGGCTGCCTTGGCCCCACACCTGCGCCACGCCGCACTTCTTGTCAACCAGTCACCTCCGGCAGTCTCTGGGCTAGGAGGATTAGCAGTCGCTCTTCCACAGCTTAATGGTTTTGTCGTTCTCTAAGGCGGCTGAGGCGATGATGTTCTCCGTGGGGTGACAAGCCGTCGAGATCACCACATCTGCAAACAGAGAGGTCAGGGTACCCCTCACCTGAGACCTCAGCACCCTAGGTTGCAGCCTGGCCCTGAGCATGGACCACCATAGGGCCGGGGGGCTGCGTTCAAGGTGCCAGGCAGCCTGCTGGCACAGGATTCTAGGGAACAGTGGTAGGGTTCTCGTGCCTGTCCAAGTGCCCCGGATCCCCTATCCATGCTGACCTCCCCACTGCCACCCCCCTGTACAGGGCAAGGCAGCTGCACCCCAGGGGAACACCTGGGCTATAGGGGCTGCTAGGTGCAGCCCTCTGAACCCCAGGACTCTGCTGCTGCCCAAGCTGACCACACCGCAAGGACAGCTGACCCCACGGCCACAGGGGAAGGAAGAAGGCACAGCACTGCTGGGGTCTCCAAGGGGCTCCATGCTGGGACAGTGCCGGGCCACCCAAGGCCCTACAGAACCTGTGTGCAGTGGCGCCCTCAGCGCCCAGGAGGCATGGAGCCTGCAGCCCACAGCACTGCCATGGCATGGACACGTACAGGTAGATGGGGCATCAGCCACACAGGGGGACGAGCCCAGGACATGTGGTGGACAGGAGGGGTATGGTGGAGTAGGAGCCAAAGCCCACAGCTTTGGGATCTACAAGAGCCACCAGCAGCCCCCAGCCTGGCTGGAGTGGGGCAGCACATCCCAAGGCCGCGACGCACAGCCCTACCTGTGTGGCCCTGCAGCTTCTGGACAATCTCCTTGGTCTGCAGGTTCCAGATGTATACCAGGTTGTCCTCAGAGCCAGACACGATCCACTGTCAAAGCAAAGCGGCAGACCCAGGAGGGAGAAGAAAACGAAGCGTCAGTGGCCTGAGCCTACTCTACACCCAGCTGCTGCAGCTGCTGTGCCCGGGGAGCCCCAGGGGGCGTCTGGGCTGGAAGCTGTCCCCAGAGTTGCCCTGAGCTCCTGGATCACCCACATTTCACCCAGTATCACTACCTACGCTTCGTCCCCATCCACGTCTAGCAGCCAGATGCTGGCACGGAGTAGAAAAGGGACCCTTGGGCAGCAGACTCTGCACATGGGACAGGAGCCCAAGGCCACCTGCCTTACCATCCCCAGGGTCACGTGGCCCCCTGAAGAATGAGAGGATCTGAAGCAGACAGGAGGTGTCCCCAAGCCCTGCCCCGTTCAACTCTGACCCCCAGTGCACATGACATCAGTCCAGTTAGCACCAGGAAGCCCCTTCTACAGGAAGCCACCCTCACCTTCCCGCCAGTCACGGAGAAATTGGCAAATATGCAGTACTTCTCGTTCTTGTGGCCCGTGTACGTCTTCAGGCACTGGGAAGGAGGTAACAGGCTGTCAGCACCACACCCCCCCCAGAACTGCCCGCGTCCCTGAGAGCTCCGTGTCCTGAGTGCAGTCCTCTGCCAGGCCCAGTCACGCTCACATGTGGACCCGCGTTCTGCAAGGACTCGCATGGAGCAGGCTCAGCAACACCGGGCTCCCGATCCCATTTCTAGGGCCGCCCGAACCCGCCAACAGGTCACCCACAACATGGCACACAGCAGGCCAGGCCGGCACGCTGGAGCTCACCTTGCCCTTGCTGTAGTCCCAGAGCTTCAGTGTGCTGGAAGACAAGAGAGGGTAAGGGCTAGCCTGCCGTGTGCCTACACAGCCACCAGCAGCACCTGGTGCAAGACCCTCAGAGCCCCTGAGCCCAGTGAGGCGACAGCACAGGAGCAGGCAGGAGGCCCTCCAATCAGCACAGGCTCGGGCAGCTGCTGGGCCTCCAGGGGGAGGCGGGAATCACCGGGGCATCCTGACCACGGAGGGGGCTGACGGGGAGAATGCCAACCACAGGGCCTCCGAGGAGCCAGGCCCACACAGGACTCGCTCAGGAACCAGCCAGGGCTAAAATGGCCACCCAGGGAGCGAGGGTGACTGCATGTTTGTTCTGCAGTTACGATCAAGGTGCTCAAGGCCTGGGTGCAGCTCAGTGATGAGCACCCCCACAGCAAGTGGCAGGTGGGGTTCTGTTCCCGGCACCGTAAGGAGAAAAACTCAAGGAGCCCAGAGGTCAAGCTGGAAAGGCCCGCACACCCCATGCAGGCAGGCTTTGCCCTGCTCGGGGCTCAGGAGCAGGCTGCACTCCAAATCCTCAGATAGAACTGGGGAGGCCTCCTTTGACGCCCCACAGACAGCTCAGAGGCTGGGTCCAGCAGGGGATGCGCAACCCACAGAGCTCTTACTTGTCCAGTGTGGCCGCCAGGATGTATTTGCCATTCGGAGAGAACTTCACGAAGGACACTGGAGGGTTGTCATCATCTGTGGCAGAAACAGACGGTGAGATGCAGCAGGGCGGGACCAGCGCCCCACCACCGTGTCACCGTGCGGGATGACTTCGTGAGGTTGCTGCCACCGCTAACACCGCCACCACCCTTGAGACCACAACAGTCCACCCACACCCCTTCCCCAGCCCCGTGCCGCGTGCGTGTCCTCGGTGCCTCTCGAGCCTCCTTAGACGCCAGGGCTTTAGGAGTGAAGGGCCAGAGGCAACACCTGGGTCCCCGCGCCTCACGTGCAACATAACTGTCACCCACGCAGGACATGTGCAAACCCCCAAGGGGGCTGAGAAACTGTTCTGCAGGGGAGAGAACGGCCAGCGCCATCCTACGGGAAGCAGCCTCAGTGACCCGGCCACCTCTTCTCCTAGCACCCTGGCTCTAAGCTCAGCCTGTGGCCCACAGCCAGGAGAGCCGCCAGCCCCCACCGAGGAGGCGACGCTGCGCCCATCCTGGCCCACGAAGCCAGGCGCCTTCCTGCGCCTCGCCCCGGCGTGCCCCAGCACACGCATTACCACGGACTCGCCGCGGCCCCGGCTCCCTCAGGCTGGTCACCCACACTGGAAAGGCACACAAGACGGTTATTACGAGGGCCGCTGCGGTCCAGTGCTCTCACTCCCACCACCCCAACGCAGCCCGGACACTGCTCACCTTTCCTGGACAAGCCCAGACCACCCTGCACCCTGCAGCTCAGGCACTCAGACCCTGCCTAGCACCCACCCTGGCCAGCTGCAGCCCTAGAAGCCAAGCAGCCCAAGGTCAAAAAATACTGCATAAAGTAAAGCCAGGCGTGGAGGCACACATTTGCAATCCCAGTGCTCGGGAGGCTGAGGCAGGAGGATCACCGTGAGTTCAAGGCCAGCCTGGGCTCAATACTGAGATCAAGGCCAGTTTGAAGTACACAGCAAAACCCTGTGTCAAACCCTCCCCACAAACACTGCAGAAATAAAACAAAATTTCAAAAAAGAAAAATGTGGAAAAAAAAAAAAGAAAAAAAAGAAAAATGTGAATCTGCCACCACCAGCACTAGCACTGCCTTGGGCGCAAGTGTACTGCCAGTGAGGTCACCTGGCCACAGCCATGGCCCACCCTCAACGGGGCTCATGGCCGTGCACTCCAGCTGCTACCCCTGCCCTTCCCGCTGTTACTGCCTTAGCACAGTGTCCACTTCAGGAGCACAAAGGCCACAGACGATTTATGCGGCAGAGTCCATGCCCAGCGCCTGTGCAGAAGTCATACCAACTGTGTGGGGGACCTGACATCCAACCACACTGCACAGCTCTGAGCAAGTTCACCGACTGCTGTGTCAGATCTACCTGTAAAATGGAGGTCACCGAGCCTGCAGGCCAGCTGGGTCACGTGTCACTAACACAGGCATTAGCACCTCACTCATGACAGCTGGGAGGACACGGTCCTGGTGGACAACACTGGCCACCAGGTGTCCAGGAGGGACACCACAGTCACCCTGGGAATCCTAGATGGAAGTCAGGATGTGGCCAGAGGACACTTCTGCCAAGAAGAAAGCCCAAGGCCCTGCTGCAGGACCAACCCTGAGCACCCTCCCAGGCCAGCCACAGGTCTTAGGCAGCCACCTGCTGTGTCTAGGGAGAGAAGGGGCTTGGACACGGAGCTCACACCATGCAGGGGGCTGGCTGTGTGCGGTGCAGGGAGAGGACCTCTGCAGGCAAGGACAGGGCCCTCGGACACGGTCCCCCGCCCTGTGACACCTCTACCTCCCTGGATACGGGGAAGTGACACCTCCCTTGCTGCCTGGCAGGTACCCGCCACCACTACTGTGCAGTCAGGACGCTCCCCTGATGGCGGGGGACCAGCCTCTCCACCCTGCCCTCCTGAGCAGCACCTTCTAGGCCACTGCCCCCACCCCAGGGTCACCAACTCCCAGGCCTCTGATCCTGCTCTTGGGATCCACCATCCACCTCAGCAGCACCCTCAGGCGACTTCTTCCCCAGCAAGTGGAGGCCCCGGGCCCTGCAGTATCTGGAGAAGGGCACCTTAGACGGCACAGGCCGAGGGCCCAAAGGCAAGTTCTATGGAGCAGCGAGGTGCCCTTGGTCCAGAAGGAAGTGCTGGTGGAGGCAGGAACAGGAGGCAAGGAGCCCTCCAAGGAAGCAGGCCCTGGGCAGGGCAGGGCAGGGCAGGAGGGCACAGGAGGGTAGGCGGCTCAAGAAAAAGCAAGGGGCAAAGTCACAGAGGCCACCGAGGAGGCCACGGCGACCCGCAGGGCACGCTCACCGATGAGTGTCTTCAGGCACTGTCCGGACGCAGTGTCCCAGATGCGGCTGCAAAGGGAGAGCAGAACATGTAAGGAACTGCAGCCCAGTGTGCAGCCAGAAGCCCCAGGACCTACACACACCCCAAGTTTCATCTCGGTCCCCAACCCACTCTCCTCCCAGCCCTCTGCCCAGCACCACTTTCACATCAGTCTACAGCCCCAGACGGGCAGGCGGGCAAAGGCCAGGCCGACTCCCTCCCCTTGCCCTGGCTCAGGGCGGGTTGGTTGGCAGGGAGCACGCAGCTGAGAGCAGGTCAACGGCCACCTCTCCCAGAGAGGATGGGCCAAGCTTTGAGCCCCTTCTAGTGCCCCATCACCACAGCTCTGCGGAAACATGTCTGGACACGCAGCCCACCATGCCCGGTCTCACTGCCACGCTCCAAGAGCACACCCCCTCCGACGGCAACGGCCCAACAGACACGTTTTCCGAGGTGAGCCCTGCACTCTCGCCTCCACCTCTGTGCAGCCTCGGCCGCTTTCCCCCAGGGAGGCCACCCAGGGCTGCTCCACACGGCCCTGCCCGTGCCCGCACCTCCTCCTCCCGCCGGGCACCCGGGGTGACTGCCCCTCCCCCCAGACTCCCATCCAGCGCAGGCAGTGGCCCAAAGCTGCCATTACGCCTGGACGGGGACACCAACCACCACCTGAACTTGTGGCTGCCTCCATCCTAAGTCCTGCTGATGTTTGCTTTGCTCGATCAGACTCCAGAAAGTTTCAACACTGGCCTCATCAAATTCGCCTTATTTAAGTCTTATTTTTTTGCAATTCCTTCACCTTTTGACTTTGTAAGTTCCCTCCCACACTTCTCTAGGACACTTTCATAATATTTAGGGTACTGGGGACTGACCCCAGACGCACACAGGGCAGAGCGCTCTAACACATCCCCCTCCGTCTTGTTTTGAGACAGAATCTTGCTAAATTGCCTGGGTTGGATTGTAATTCTCCTGCCTCAGCATCCAGAGCTGCTAGGTTTATAAATGTGTCCCATGACAGCCAGCTACTTTTTCGGGGGTAGGGGTGGCAGCCCATTCCAGGTCTCTCCTCAGAAGCTATTCTTAAAAAGAAAAAGCTATTCCCCAATAAATTTTCCTACTCTCAACTCCACTGCTCTCTAGAATTCATTCTACTTCAGGGTATCGGACACCTAGCAAGTTGGGGTTAGGAATTTTCCCCTATATCACACTGGAAGTTCCACCAAGATCTTTGGAAGGACAGACTGCCAACTTCCAAGTGACCATGCAGACGTAACCAATGACAATTGTGCCAGACTCCTCTACCGGAGTACAAAAGGGCACCTTGCAAAGGAGCTCAGGACTGCATGGCAACAGGACTTCCAGCCGAGGCCCCGAGATTTGCTCCCCAAGAAGCCCTGACCACAGTCTCCCCTACACCAACCCTACTCAGCTCCAGGAATCTGGATGGAAACTACACCCCTTCTCCTCTCATGGCAGTGCCTCTCCAGTTCAGGCTGACCTCAAACTCTCATTGATCCTCCTGCCTCAGTGTCCCAAGTGCTGGGACTATAGACACGTGCCACTCCATCTGGCAATCTTCCTCTTTAAAAATTTCCTTTAACTTGCAGGGAGGCGTTTTACAGTCTGAGTCGTTCCGCTGACGACAAACAGGCACACGGTCCGTGTGGGTTGGCTTTCACCTTGGCTGCTGCCACCCAGCGTCTTCCAGCAGCCACACTGCAGGAGGCACAGGTACCTGGCCCCTGCCCACCCCTGCTCAGCACCAGCCTCCCTGCTGTGGCCCCGCCTGGTGTCACCTGCCTGTCCTGCTCAAAGCCCCCCAGCCACACGCTTAAGACTGTCTCTTAAAAACAGCACAAGCCCAGCATGGTGGCACATGCCTGCAATCCCAGCACTTGGGAGGCTGAGGCAGGAGGGTTATATAGTAAACTCAAGGCCAGCCTGAACTACAGTGAGACTCTGTCTCAAAAAAAAAAAAGCAGCACAGAGCCAGAAAGGTTCTCAAAATCCAAAACCAACAGTCTTTTATTTGTCGATTTTATTTTTGAGGTTATATTGGAAGTTTAACCTAGGGCCTTAACACTGAGCTACACTCACGGCCTTTTTAAATTTTATTTTGAGCCAAGTCTCTCTAAGTCTCTAAATTGCCCGGTCTGGACTCAAACTTGCTCTCTTCCTCCCTCAGCCTTCCAGAGCGATGGGAATACAGGTGTGTGGTGCTATCCCTGGCTCTCAACCACATGAGAGAGTACTTGGCCAGCCAGCCGCGACTGTGCCACGCAGTACGCTGCATTTCAATGTTGGGCTTGTTACCTCTGTACTTTTTATTTTTGTAAGTGTCACCTTACTCCAGTCCCTCCTCCTTCACTAACCGGGAGATCCTGGTCGCATCATCCCTGCTGCCACCATCCCATTTCTGTTGACTGTCTTCCCTGCTGACTCCTCCCTACTGACCACCCTCCCTACTGACCACATTCCTACTGTCCTCCCTGACTGTCCTGTCCTCCCTGCTGATCACGCTTGGCCATGAAGTCTTTAGCCACACTGCTTCAACTCCACTGTGCCTCATTCCAGAGTCCTCTGGGCCCATGTTTCCCTGTGCCCCCTGAATCGCCTGCATCACAACCCCCACCAGGTCTGCACAGGACCCTCAGACTCAGACACACGGGCCTCGCTCTCTTCTCCTCTGCGGTGTGCGCGTACATGCACCAGCCCCAGACCTCGCGTCATCCAGACCATGTATCAGGCAGCCTCTGCAGCACACCGGGCTGGGGCTCCAGCAGGCCCGCACGGCATTACTGACTGGACCAAAAAGATTCACACTCACCAGAGACCATCGTAGCTACTGGAAACTATCAAGGATCCATCACGATTAAAATGAACCTAGGAGTCAGAGTGGAAAGGGAAAAAGAAACTTACCTCCCAGGGCTCAGCGCACCTCAAACATGAACGCCCCCTGATCGTGGACACCCAGTAGCACACATGCCACCCTTCCTTCAAGTCTGCTCCCTTCCTAGTGGCTGCCAGGACCCAGGAGCAAGACGGGTGAAACGACAGCTTCCCTGAGGGGTCCAGCAACGGGCAGCCTGTTTTCCTGAGACTTCTGGACCACAACCCCAAGATCACAACCACAGTCCCAAGGTGGGCAATCACAATACTGCCACTGAGCCAGAACCAAGCCCTCCAGCGAGTCACACTGGCTGCAAGGAGGGCCGGTGGTTCCCAGGCCTGCCACCTGCCCGCTGTGAGGACAGTCTGGTGGGCCCACATGGCTAACAATGCCTTGACAGCAAAAGAACAATGATGGGCCGGGGATGTAGCTCAGTGGCACAGCACCTGCCTGGCAAGAGCAAGGCCCTGAGTTCGATTCTTGGTACAACAACAAAAAAAGAAAGATAAACCTGAAGAGCCACACCCACCCTCAGTAACGATTCCAAAACAGGAAACTGGAGCTGTCCAAGTGAGTGCCACCGAGACACCTTTCATTCCAGGCGATCCTACGCCCTAGTCTCAGGGAGGGGAGCCTCCAAGGTGGCCCCAACAACCCACTCTACCTGGACCTGACCCCACTCACCCCAGGAAAGGTGAGCAAAGGCCAGACAACAATCCCTCTCAAACTGAGTTGTTCACAATTTTTCCTGTTTTATTCTTTTTCCCAAAAGTCAATCTCCACAGGAAGAAGTGAAACATATCAGAAATTAAAGTCCACCATGAATTTCTGTGTTTCTGTGTTCTGGGCAGGTGTGACCCAGGACAAGCCTTCTGACAAAGCCCTCTGGCTTCGCACTACAGGGAAACCTGGCGGGGGAGGGCTGCGCATGTGCGTGTGTAGCCTTGAGGAAGCCCTGGAGCCACTCTCACCAAAGGGCCAGGCTGCGTGCACTCCCCGCTCAAGGAGCTGCTCAGCCCTGGCTCAGGACACTCCTGGCCCTGGCTGGCCTGTGAGGCAGTGACCTGGTCTTCCACCTCAGAGGCACCAGTGGATGGGACAGGATAGGGCAAGACGCTCACAGCTCCTCAAGTGGCCAGATCTGCACAGGCCTGGGCTACAACGGCTTCTGTTTCTGAATTCGGACTCAGGGTCTAAGAAAATGCATGGCCACTGCTGGACCAGAGGCTCTCACACAGTACAGCCGCTGAGCTCCAAGGTAAAAGGCCTGGTGACCCTGATCCCACTATTCAACCCAACACACCTGAGCTAGCATCTCAACATGCAAACTTGTGAAGATGGATGCTTTGCTTTTTTGGGGTGGGATACTGGGGACTGAGCCCAAGAACAATGAACTGCATTCCCAGCCCTTCTTGTTTTTTGAGACAAGGTCTCAGTCACTAAGTTGCCCAGGCTGAGCTCAAGCTTGCCATCTTCCTGCCTCAGTCTCCCCAATAGCTGGATTCCCAGCTCGCTCTCTGCCTCAGGCTGTACCAGGGACCTCCCACTCAACCCTGGCCATGCACTGGTGCCCAAGAGGCTGGTGGCCGGTGTGGACAGCCACAAACACAAGCTCGGAGGGGCAGGTGCTCAGGTTTCCTCCTCTTCTGCCAGGAGCAGCGCTGCAGGATGCCTGCTGGACCCCCGCCTATCTCAGGAGACCCACAGCTGTCTCCAGTCACAGGGCTGCCCGCTGCGTAAGTCCTACTGTCAATCAGTGTACCCTGACCCTTGTGAGAGTCAGCCCCACCCTGACTGCACATGGCCCTGGAGGACAGGGTGGCATTAGGTCAGACTGGGCACGCCCCCATGACACCTCCACTAACAGCCCTTGGTACTAGGGGTAGCTCCAGGCCACCAAGGCCCACATAGGCTAGGATACCTGTCTGTCCAGTATGTGTGATCTTGGGCCAGGCGAAAGCTTTCCATCGCCGGAAAAGCTTAAAGTCCTGTGCCACCAGGACTGGAAAGGGAGAGGTCCCCCTACCCTCCTCTCCAGGAAATGCAGGCAGACCTACAGAACCCCGCTCCCCCACCTATGGGGTTCTGGGGATTGAACCCAGAGCCTTGTGATGCTAAGACTGCTCTCCACTAGGCACCGCTCAGCCCCTGGCCGCTTGAACTGGCAGAATGTGCAACACCGATCCGGACACTGGGGTGGCATCTGTGTAGCAGGATGTGGGCCAGGGAGCTTCTGCTCTCCAAGGGCTCCCGCACTGACAGCCCAGGCCCTGTCCTCATCATCCTCATCAACTGGTTCATCAGAGCCACCTCCACTCTAACTCCCCTCACTGTGACCATAATGCCGGCCACACGGCTCCTTCTACCCTACACCCTCCACCACATCACCCTGCCCTGGGAAGTGAGGGCTCAGGACACTACCCGGAAGCCCAGGGCCACCCGCCCCTCACAGCACATGACTGGGCAGCCCTGGCCTGGACCCCAAGCTCTGGCCACCCGGAAGCTGCGAGCCCTGTCCACATAGCAGGAACTTACAGCTGAGACCGGGTCAGAGTGAGCAGGCAGGGTCTTGAGGCACTTCCCCGTCTTCACGTCCCAGATCCTCACGCTCTCATCAAACTGAGGAGACAGAGGCAATTAGAGCAGCTACCTAGGAGTGGGCAGGATGGCGCCCCAGAGCCCAGGCCTGCTGCAGCCTGGAAATGCAAGCCACCACCCCAGCACCCAGAGGAGAGGGCAGCGCACTTACAGACCCTGAGACGATGAGGTTGGACTGCGGGTTGAAGTTGCAGCAAAAGACATAGTTGCTGTGGCCCTTTAGGGTTTTCAGACACTTGCCCTGGAATGGCAGCGTCGGACCACATGAGGTTGGGGTCACTGCCCATGTGATGGCCTCCTTGGGACAGGCCATCCCCGCTGACCCTCCCTGGGAGAGGACCGGGCCACTTACAGAGCTCACATCCCATATCTTCAAGGTTTTGTCATCCGAAGCAGAAACAAGGAGGTTAGAGTCCGAGGACCAGGCCACATCCGATATTCCCTTGGGAAGGAAAACACGTGGCTACCACCTCTGGACAGAGGCCAAATCCCACACGTGCAGCAAACCCCTCAGGAAGCCCTGGCTAGTCACTGCCACATGGGAGGCAGGCACAGGGCCCACAGCAAAGGGCCACTCTTGGTGGCTCTGTCAGGCAGATGCTCACCTACAGGGCCAGAAGGGTCTACACTACAAACACAGAAGGCAAACTCCCGCCAGGCTCACTGGTGGCACAGGGGAACACCTACCAGCTTGTGCCCTGATATGGTCTTCTCAAACTTCCCATCGTATGCACCCCAAATTTTAATGAGTTTATCAGCAGCTGAAAGAGATGAAGAGGAGCTGAGGCTCAGCACACAGCCTGGGCTGTCCCCACACCCGAGCCCTGGTCATCAGCACATGTGGCTCAGAAAGCCTCTGAGCAAGGGCAGGGCCACTTAGGGCCAGGTAGTCCCAAGTGGCAAAAAGGACACAATTTCAACAACAGTGCTCCACAGGTCCAGAGAGGGACGTGTGGCACGGGCAACGTTGGGGAGCAAACCACTCCACACCAGCCCACCCAGTTCTCCCAGCCCAGCCGCTGAGCGTGCGTACGCACATGAGCTTGCCAGCCACTCTCCATTCGGGCTGAACTTCACAGAGGACACAGCTTTCGTGTGGCCAGCCAGGGTAAACTTCAGGGCATAGTTTGGTTTAACAGGTGTTGGCTGTTGAAGAGAGGGGGCGACTGAAGCTAGCCCAAAGCAAGCACCCTCTGCCTCCAACCACTCCCCCCATCCCCAAACTTCAACATCTAGCACCTAGCACCAACCAGAGGCCACTGTCTGATGTGACCACAAACTCACCAGGTCTAAGTCTGAGTCTTGGATCTCCCCACCACCCAGCAAGGTGGCTCCAAATCTGAAGCAGACATCCAAGACTGCCCCCTACCAAGTCCCCATGCAGCACCTGCCCCTGCCACCATGCTGGGGGAAGCGGGTGCAGAGCTGCTCAAGGTCCCTGCTTCCTGTAGCCTGAGGAGGGCCAGGTAGACCTGCATAGAGACCGAAACTGTGGGACCCGGTTGGGGTGTTTATTCAGAGGTATTTTCTGGGTCCTCTAGACTCTTACAACCAGGACCAAAAATCTGGTTTTTGTTTTCTTTGTAGCACTGGCAATCAAAGACAGGAATGCTCCACTACTGAGCTCTACCCCGAGGGCCTTTTTATTTTTTTTATTTTGAGACAGAATACAGTACTGTTAAATTGCCCAGGCTGGCCCTGCACTTGTAATTCTCCCAAATAGCTAGGGTTACAGGCATGAACCACCACACTCAACTAGGAATCTGTGCTTCTGATTAGGGCCGTTTCCTCCTGGATGACAGGTTTAGGAATCCTAACATGGCCTGTAACAGGCACATGTTGCATTACGTGGTCCGTGAATAAGACTGGCAGCCTGTTTACCTGAGTCCAGGAGACAACTGACAGGCTTACAATCACATCAACAAGAACCTTTAAAGCCTACTTGCCCCCAAGGTTCCCCAGGGACTCAAGCAAGGGCACGCACCTTGCTCTGCGTGGCTGAGGAGGAGGGGGTGGGCTGTGCCCTTGCTGCCTCTGTCTCCGGCTTCTTCTCCTCCGTGGCCATGGCGCTAGAGCCCACAGGACGGGAAGCGACGGATCGGGTTCACAGTGGAGGGGGCTGTCTGATGAAACCCTGTAGTGAGGACCTAGAAACAAACCATGTTTAAGAAACTGATTTTCAGGCTGAGGGTACAGCTCAGTGGTAGAATGCTGACCCAGCACCATAAAGCCCTAGGTTCCAATCCCAGCACCAAAAAAAAAAGCACTAATTTCCAGGAAAAAAGGATAAAGAAAACACATGACCAGCCTACTGAGCCCTGCAGCAAATCAAGGAAGCTAACTATCCCCCCAAACTCCAAGCTAAGACACCTCTGCTCTGCCCACTTCAGTGTGATAAGACCCCACCCTCAAGAGAACTTCCTTCGGGTACCTGGATGTCTGCTGGAATGGCACGCGGGACAGGAAAACAAGATGCAAGCTGACACACTGAAAAACCCCAACGTTTCCCGACAGAAAGCAACAGCCAGAAGACAGGGACACTGAGTTTTAGGCTGCAGGGCCTCAAGGCCTTGGGTCCAAACCCTAAAATGCAAAGGGATGGGGCCTCGTTATGGTGCCTCACAGGTGCCATCTGCTGGCACCCCACAAGTGGAGATGCGATGCTGTCTTCCAGGGCACCCCCAGTTTGCAGAGCTCTCCTCCCCAGCTCAACCCTCAAGCAGCCCAACAAGCCTGTCACAGAAGCAAAGCAGGCAGGCTCAGCCTCTGGAATTCTCACACCCTCCCTCTGCAGCCACAGCCTAAAGCACAGCACTGAAGTTTCGAGATTCACATTGCAGAAGAGGGGAGGACTGCAGGGCATGGGGGCACACCGTTATGTCCTAGCACTTGGGAGGCTGATGCATGAGTATTTCCTTGAGTTCAAAGCCAATCTGAACTATACAGTGAGACCCTGTCTCACAAAACGAAACTTAAAAAAAAAGAGGAGGACTGCAACTCCCTCTGGTCTTGCTTGACAAAGTACAGCCCAAAACATGCAGTTGGTGATTGCTTCCTTTATCCCAGCAACAGACTCCACTAGCTGAAGTCTCACAAGACCATACCAGGTGTCTCTGATGGAGAAACAGGCAGAGCCACCAACACAGGCTTGCTAACACCAAGACCACCAGGATCCCCAAAGCCAGCTCTGCCCCTAACCTAGTAAGTTCCTGCGCTGTAAATTCCTGCTTGGTGCTTAACACTGAAATCTTGCAAAGGTTCCAGGGCAAATGCAGGCCACTGAAAAAGAGGTGTTCCAAAGACTTCATCATCCCTGAGGGAGAGAGGACAACATCCACCACGTTTCACCTACAGCTATTCCAGCCCTGGGATGGATGTGCTGCACCTGGCACCTAGGGAGACCCTGGGGGAGGGCAGATCCCACAGAGCTCTCCAGCTGTTGGGAGCTGCACAAGCTAGAAAATAATTACGCGTGCAGGATGAAGCCAGCCTGAGAACACAGGACCTCCTCGGAGTAAACAAACTCCTCGGAGTAAACAAGCCTTTGTAACTTGTCAACTGGTTGCTGGGCAGCGAGACAAAAAAATTAACCAACCTCTCCAGGGTATAAATAAACGCTCTACTGTTTTGGGGCAGTCCTCTTGCTCATCAGGCAAGAGGTAACTCCATCGGACCCCAGCTCTTCGCTCTTGTCTTTTATTTTTCTCACATCCACCGCCGTTCTTCTCCGGGGTACAAGGAGAGACCAAGGAGGATCCCTACCTCCACGGACAAAGCTCTGGCTGCCAGTGCTTGGCGTTTACCTTCAACACAACCTGGCTGTGCCAATGCAACCCCACAGGCACCTTCTCCTCTGGGAGCCGGACAGGCAGCAGGTGAGAACTGAGGAGACTCTAACGCCCCGTCCCACCCAGCAAACACCAGGGACAATAGGTGCTTCAGGACCTGGTCTTCAGAGGCGGCTCAGCAGGCTGAGGAAGCTCCGCGTGGCCTAGAGCACGACTCACCTGGAGGTGGGTGGGGACTCCTACAAGGTAAGCGCTGCCCTCCCCTGAAGAACACCACGTGGGTGGTCTAAGCCCCCAACTCTCAGAACATTAGCATGTAAGAAAAACCTAGCTCTGCAGGCCTGGGCGGGGTCTAGGGCTAGGTGTCTTTCCGGAAGGCTCAGGTGTTTGGGAGGCAAGTTCACAGCGCACAGGGAAGCAACTCGGGGACCTGGGCTTTAGGAACAAGGGCTGGGGAAGGTGATCGCAGCGGGCCTCAGCCCGCCTGGCGATCGGATCTCACCCCGGAGAGCGAGGCCACTGCAGGCCCAGCAGCCAGCCCTCCGCATGCACCCCTGGGCCTCCCGGGCTCCGGCAGGGCCCGAGGAGCGTGAGGAGTCAGAAGGGACCCTGCGTTTCAAGCCAGCACCCGGAGGATCGCGGGCGGCGGCCGAGAGCGAGCTGCGGGGCGCAGCGCCCCTCTGGGCGCCGGGACAGCCCTGCCCTATGCGCACCTTGCCTCGGTTCGCCGTCTGCTCTCCGCGCTGCCTTCCTAGGGGCCGGCGCGGCGCTGCCCGGCCAAGGCTTGGGAGCCCCTGGGCCCAGGCAGGCACGCAGCCGGACGGCGAGCGCCCCGGGACCGCACCCAGGGA